TAAAAAGGTTATTCTTTTTATATAATGATAGATAAGAATTAACATTTACCATAAATAGTAGTAAGGAAAAGTCAACCACATTTATTATATACTATTTTCAACAACTTTTACATTTTAATTTTAATTCATTATCAAAAAATTGGATGGTTCCTAAATTAATGGGTTTTAAATGCACGTATCATGTTTCAAAAATTATAAGTCATTTAAAATCGGAGGGTTCATAAATTAATGGTTACAAACTTTTCAAAGTTGTAATCTTTATGGCATCTTTTCTTTTTGACTTTTAATAATAAAATTATTTTAAACATATATATTCTAATCCAAAAATTCAATCATGTTAAATATATATATATATATATATTGAACGCTAAAAATATTTTCTAAATTGCATACCCAATCAATTAATCTTAATTTTTTTAAAATTACTATGTTTATTTTTTATTAATATGTATAAAATAAAAATAAATAGTTCATCTTTGGATATATAATTTATAATCTTAATATACTATCATTTGGTGTAGACATATGAATCATAAAATATTTTTATTTCATAAAATTAAATATTATATTTAAAGAAAATAAGGAATTTACTTTGGATCAATCGGGTGATTGAATTAGGGTACTGCCCACTTTGATTGAATTACTTTTAGGTGATATTTAAAATAGTCAAAAAACTTGACATAACTTGGTTGGTCCGAGGTAATTAAGTTATGTATCAGTTTGACCAGACCAAATTGATTATTGAACCTAAATATAAATTTTAATATTGAAAATACTTTATTACGTGAATGTGATGTCGTCCAAACTTCAAATAATCATATTAACAATACTTTTATGACAACGTGATTAATGATTTATGAATATTTATATATCATTTTATTATTATTCATGTGAACAAAATATTTATTTCATTATCATTTTTATTAATGTACGGTAAATATAAGGTTTTCAGAATCGCACCGTCTTGTGGTTGTTCAGATTTTAATACATAATACTTTAATAGAAAGTGTTACTTAAATAGAAAGTGTTACTTAAATATCTAAACAATTTAGAAATTCAAATGTTTAAACTAATTGATAAACAATTTATAGATCTCTATTTTATTTAAATATGTAATTTTATTTAAAATAATTTTTCATGTAACAAAATCTGTTTAGAAAATCGTATCGATCTTACCAGTCCAACATACTGGTGTTGTCGGATTCGATAACAAATATTTTATTCAAGCGCACTAAATCGGTTATAAACCGGTTCTCGGTCCATCCGGTCGGACTGTGTCCAACCCAGTTTAATTTATAAATAATGGGTAAATCATGATTAATGTTATTTATTTATTTAATTTATAATACAATCAAAATATTATTTTCCCGTGCATCGCACGGACCACGTACTAGTTGTTCATAATAATGAACAATCATTAATTTACTAATGATTAAATTTTAAAAATGTAATATGTTCATTATTTATAATTTTAATATTAAATTCTCAAATATTACTTATAATATTTTATGTACATTTGTGCATATGCACAGGATATTTACTAGTGGCAAANTTCCATTCATTAACTCGATAAAAGCTCCATCTCGAACTCACTTTGACTAGTTTACAACTTCATATACAAAGGAGCCATTGCACCAAACACACCGCCCCATAATTGTACAGATATGGACACCCATTACTTTTGGTTTTCCAAATCAATTATTCTTTTAAATAGAGTAAAAGAAAAATTTACTTAAAGCAACCAACAGCCACAATATTATGGCTGAAAAATATCATGCATATTTTCACGTGCAATAAAGCATACATCCATTGGAATTTCTGTATCGTCATATTCTTTTCAATAATTCTTCAATAACATGCATATTTTCACTGAAAAATATCATAATTAAAAAAATAATAATAAATAGAAGTATAACAAAGTATGATATTTGATAATATAAATATGTATTTTTTTTAAAAAAATATGACGGGTTGACCCAATTAGACCGTTTGACACAAGAATTTGTATTCGAGTTTTAATAAAATTGTTTTTGCATTCACTATTATTAGTGAATTTATTATTAGAGTTGGACAATGTTCTCTGGCTTTCTTCTTGAAGGAGAAGAGAGTATACAGTAGCAAGTGATGGCAAAGGGTTTGATAATAGGAAGTGGCTTCGAAGGGAAGAATAGGACTCATTTAACCCTATTAAGAACTTCATCACATAGTCATGATTTTGTGCAGTAGCCATGGCTTCAAAAATTTTACACGAACAACTATTGAAAGCACCACACACACATTTGGAAATGGGACTATAAGTAACATATTCATCCCAGAGGGACTTGAAAGTATTATAGTATTGAGTCACAGACAGTGTGCCTCGATCTATTGTACTTAGAGATTTTTTAAGATGAAAACCCTAGGTCCACTAGATAAGGCATATCGAGATTTTAACTCATCCCAAACCTCTTGTGCAACAGTAAAAAACAGTAAGGATTGACGAATGTCCTTATGAATAGAATTCAGAAGCCAGGACAACACAAGATTATTAGATCTAACCCAGGATAAAGTTTGAGTAGGGTTAGGGGCAGATACAGTACTGACTATGAAACCAAGTTTATTCTTGCGCTGAGGGCCATGGTGACGGCGCGTGACCAAGAGACATAATTGTCGCCGTTGAAGAGCTCGGCGACGATGAGGGCTCCGAGATTATCGCTAGGATGCAGGTAATACGGTGATGTAGGATCCTCACTTGGATTTGCTGTCGTCGTCATTGCCATACACATATCGAGATAGATCGAGACAAAAAACAGATCGAGATTTATCGATCGATAATCGGGAAAAATCCGATTGAAAAATGAAGAATCGTTGAGAGATCGATTCAAAACAACGCGAAAGCAGCGGAAATCAACAGGAATCGTAAAATGGCGAGTGATACCATATCAAATCATATCAACATTGATGAACACAAGGAGTTTTTGGAGAGAGAAAAGAAAATGCGATTGTTGATATGAAAAGAGAATTGTGAATTGTGTTTACAGATTAGGGTTATAACCCTATTTATATGAGAGCTATAAAGTATAAAGTGTTATACAATTAAGTAACACTTATTCACTAATAAAAGGGTACAACTAATAAAGCTAAGTGTACAACTGTCTCTATTCTATTATATTCAAGAATAAGGAAAAAAATTATAATTTATCAATGGATTAAATTAATAGTTGAAAATTTACATGTACTGATAAAATGGTTAAAAATATTATAAAACTGGTTACATGAATTTTATTATTTCCAGAATATGAATAGAGAAAGAGAGTGGCGAATGAAGGCGGCCACCTGTTTTTGGAAACCGTTGGGAGTTGAGAACGTATTATGAAATCAATGTTGAATCACCTTGCGTCGTGCTTAAAAAGAAAAAAAAAATGGATATATGATATTATGATTGGATTAAAAAAAAAAAAACAGAATCTACAAATGGTGCGATTATTCATACCTAATTGTTCATAGGGAAGGAACGGAAAAATTAAAAATGAAATATTAAATATAAAAAATCCAGTGGCCTATTCGAATAAATTCTAGATGTCATAACTCATAATAGAATTTTGATCGTCATACTCCTTTTGCACATTTGCATGTAAATGGATGAAACAGTAGGTTAGATCCTACATGTGCATTAGTGAACGCATTGAGTTTTTCACTATTGAATCACACGCATATATGTATATATACATGTGTATATATTTTATTATAAATCATAAGTGATGTCAAGGTTGATCCAACAAATTGAATGAAATGGGGCCAAAATTTTGTGGTAATTGGAAAAAACGATAAAAAAAAAAGTTGGCACAAAATAGAACATGTAAAATTACCATTATATATAAATTTTAATTTTATTAAAATAATTCAAAATGAGATATTAAAACACCCTACCATTTGTATATTTATTATCATTCTGATTATGTTTTTAAGGATGAGACGTCAACTTTTCATTAGGTGGCTTACTTTTTCATTTGGTGTTCACACCAAATTGGCACAGACGCAGACTATCTGTTCGCAATTTGTAATGGGGTTATGAAGATTGACGTAAATTGTCGCCTGGGCATACGGCCAAATGTGTCGGACCCCATTAAAGGCCAAAAGGAAATATGAATTATATCAAGCAAGATAACCTCTTCCCAAAATGTCGAACGAATGGGCCGAGGTAAAAAACGATAACTAACACATATTAATCCTAATAAAAATAGGTGGATTAAAAAGATAGTATAACAACAGTATTATCCAAGTGGAACAACTGATCATGTTTGAGCTCGTGCTCATTTCACAAATAACTTGTCTTACTTGTTTAATAAATGAATAAAAAGTTCGACATAACTTATTTACTAAACCTAAATACTTAACCAATAATACTTTCCGCGAATAAGTTTATTTCGACCGTGATACTTAAAATAACAACATAAAAAAATATAGAAATGAGTTGTTCATCAACACTCGTCTCAATTTATTTAACTAATTAATGAACTCAGTTAGTTATTCTAACTCAACTCATTTAAATAAGCAAACTACGAATTTTTACAAGTTGAATCAAACGGTATTCATCCATTTTTGTTTCGAATTTCAAGAGTTGTTTGAGAGCTCAAAACCCGTCTCATTTAAATAAACAAATTGTATTCATCTGTTTCCAATTTCGATAGTTGTTTGAGCGAATTTCGATAGTTGTTTGAGCTCAAAAACTGTCTAATTGAAAGAAACGAAAACTCAAACTTTCATTGATCCAATCAAACTGTATTCATAAATAGTTTGTTTTGCTTGCTCACAACTAGACGTGGCCATGGGTCACCCGGCTTGTCGGCCCGACACAGTCAAACTCGTTGATCACAGATCCGGGCCCGGCTCGGATTTCAACTTAGCCGGTCCAGGGCCTTGATTTTCTCGACTTTGGCCCGGCGGGCCAGGCAGTGTTTTGGCCATGTCTACTCACAGGAATCTCATACCCACCGGCCGTCCACCAAATTGAAGAACCCGAAAATGGGGACGTGCGCGAGGCACCATTTATCCCCTTCGGCCCTCTTCTGCTCCGCCACGCCCTCAACGGAACCCTCGCCCATGTTGATGAAGCTCGCTGTCCGCAGGCCGCTCAAATGGCGGATCCCCTCCGGCAGCTCCGCCATTATCCGGCAGTCCATCACCGTCAGCCACTCCAAAACCGGCATCGACCCTTTCTCCATCTCCACCCGCTTCAGCCCCCTCAACCCCCCCAAAAACAGCTGCTTCAGCTTCTGAAACCCTAGGGCGCCGAATCTCAAACCCTCGCCGTCGTAGGCGTAGTGGAGCACGAGCACCGCCAGATTCGGCAGGTCCCGGAGTAGATCCAGCGGGTCGTCCCTCAATCGGCTCCAGCTCAGGTAAAGTGTGGTGAGCCCGTCCAGAGATGGGACCCACCGCGGCAGCCTCTCCAGGTGGCCCCGCAGGTCGAGCCTCCTAGGAACGGCAGATCCGGCGATGATTGGCCGTGGTCCAGATCCAGAACCTCTCCGTCGTCGATCGAGCAAAGGCTGAGCGAGCGCAGATCGGTTAGCTTCGCGATGGAGGTGCAGAGCTTGAATCCGTCCGCTGCCCTGAGCTTCGAGATCCCCAAACGCCGTAGCTGGTTTAGGTTCCCTATTTCCCTCATTGTTTTGGTTCCGTTGATTTCCTCTGCATCTATCCAGCAGAGCTTCTGTAGGGAAGATAAGCAGCCGCCTATAGCGCACGGGGCTTTAACACTCTGTATGTTGTTGAACGAGCTTTTGTAGAAATTGCTCCGGTATTTGTACACCAAAAGGTGCCGGAGTTTGCAGAGCTTAAGGATTTCGACGGGCACTTGGTCACATTAGTGTGGTTGATATCCAGTGTTTCGAGCTCCTTTAGATTCTCGATCAACCGGGGTATGAACCTCACATGTGTTTTCCTTAAGCTGAGATACTTGAGATGGTATAACTTGAAAACCTCATTTGGAATGGTGTCCAACTGAGCTTCTGTAGGTCCAGTACCTTTAGCAGCTATTTCCTTGACTGCCTCGTATTTCAAGAACTCTCCCGAACCAAACAATAGCAATGAGCGTAGAAGCTCAAAGCAATTCAGGCCTCATGTTTCGGGGGTGAACCCGATCGGCCGCTGAATCACGTGACGTCTGATTCTGTTAGGCCAATGCACATTCCCTTCTCCGTATATTGACACAATGTTCTATTCTCTGGACTTTGAGGCGTAGCAGGTCGTGTGTTCGGTACACTCTTAGCCGCCCGTCGATTTCCTTCGCCACCTGGATTAGGCTCCTGCCGAGAAGCTCGTTCAGGTACACCTCGGCCACTTCTTCCAAGGTCTTTCCCTGTCTCGCCTGCACAAACCCTTCCGAAACCCACAGCCGGATAATCTTCCACTTGTCTAGTGGGCCACCCTCCGGAAACTCGTAATAGCTGAGGGATAGCAGTTTAGATATTCTCTGCAGGTTGCCGCCTTCCACCAATCACGACTATTGCCAGCAGCAAACCATCGCATCTTCTTAGTATGCTCTCGGCAAATTCCTTCAAATAAGATAGGACATTTTTCTTTTCTTTGGGAAAGCCTTTTGGTAAAATAACACTCTCGACTCTTGAGGTGGAATGGCATTTTGGGCTTCTCGATGCCCACAACTTCGGCCTTGTCCAGGAACAGGGCATCTCCTCTGTATTCATGCCATTCGTTTTTCGCTTGGTCTGCGACTGAAAAGTACATGTCTCGATACCTGTGCTGCCTTCTAGAAATGTCTTCCAGCTTACATTTATGTCCTCGATTTCTGAAGCAATCTGTCTCGGACCTGTCTGACCCATTCCTTGAGGTTGGGATTGCTTTCTTCTTTCGAGTCGGCTGTGTCATCTGGGCCATCTCGTCCCGGATGCTCTCGACTTCACGTTCGAGTCCTTTGAGAAGATTGCTCTCTTGCGCGAGGAGCACGCGCAGCTGGTTTAGAAGAAACGATACTGCCACATCTGACATCCCTGGTGAGCTTTCCCTTTTTTTATTTTTTTATTTTTTTTCTGGTTCTTATATTCACTTGGAATAATGAGGAGTTAAAGGAAAAAAGTTAATTTGAGGAAAAAAATCATATCTTTAAGAATTCTTGGTGCTGTGGTTAATTTGTAACACAAAATGCATTTGAGAGTTACTATTGCGCATTATGCAAAAATTGTCTCAAAATTTTGGGTTCATGTCTTCTTAGAACTTAGGATTACATTTCCCTTTTAAGGTCATTAATTATTGGGAGTGGTTTGAGATTTTAATATTTCATTTTGACTAGGTGGCTTTTGCCTTCGTATTTTATTTTATTTATTTGTTTAAATTCGTATGTCTTGTTGCCGGCACCCTTATTTTCTATTGGTGACAAAACCCAGTGTGGTCACAGCTTTAGCCGAAAAAACTGGCTAATGAATCAAACCCAAGCAAACCCACAAATTCACTTTTTTAACTTTACGATAATAGTGATAATTGTGAATGATTTCAAAGTTTGGTGGGAGCATTATCCTTCTATTAGCTTTTTGCCCCTTCAGAAAGATCTCATTTTTCCTTTCTGGACAGTTTCATTGTATATAAACATTTAAATAGACTCCATAAACTGCCCTTGTTATTCATACAAAATAATGATAATAATAATCTTTGTGGAACTGTTGGTGCTAGTTTAATTGTTTGTCCTTGTTGTAATAATCACCCTGTTTGTCATTCACTGGATAGTGGATAAATGTTTCAATTATTTGACTTGTCAGTAGATAACGGATAGTGGTTGATTTAGCAATTTTGACAATCTGACTGGATTAAATGATATAATTAACAATTTGATATATAAAAATAACTAAAATTGCAATACTCTGTTTCAAAAGCTTTTATGTCGAGCTGTTTCGAAGGATATCATGTTGAAGATGTATAAAAGAAAAAGCTTTCATATTTCTCTTTCTTCTTTTATTTGATTTCTTTTAATCTTTGTATTTATCATCTTGGTTGATTAATGAACACCTTCTGTGTAATATATTATGCAGCTGATATGATAATTCTTATTATGATTACGTGATATGCTTTGCCACTGTTATTGGTATATGTATGAACGCCAGCCGCCACCAAACTCCCCTTTGACATGTGAATGAGATGATAAAATTGGTATATATGAACGCGTACAGAAGGTCGGCGAGTATATTTTGGCTATGTTTGGTAGACGAATGAGTTAACTTATAACTTATTTGATTAGTTTATAAACTCTCTATATTTAAATAAGCTCCGTTTGGTAGGACGAGCTTATTTAAAAAGCTCGAGCTTAAAATAAGTTAATTGATATTTTTATTTCAGCTAGTTTATCAGCTAATTTTACCAAACACTTTTATCATATAAGCTAGCTTTTCAGCTATAATAAGTCATAAGCTATAAGCTATAAACTCGAAAATTACTAATAAGCTATCAGCTAGGTTTACCAAACATAGCCTTTATATTACATTATCTTATTAATTGAACTTGATGTTGTTGCTGCGTTTTTAATTTATTTTACTTTCTTAATCACGTTGGATGAATGCTTTGAATGGATTTGGATATGGTGTGATTGGATATTTGGATTTTCGAAAATTACTAATAAGCTATCAGCTAGGTTTACCAAACATAGCCTTTATATTACATTATCTTATTAATTGAACTTGATGTTGTTGCTGCGTTTTTAATTTATTTTACTTTCTTAATCACGTTGGATGAATGCTTTGAATGGATTTGGATATGGTGTGATTGGATATTTGGATTTTGCTGCTGCTTCTTTCTTTCCTTTAGATTTGGATAGTTGTGATTTTTGTGTGATTGATCATGCTTCGTGTCTTTTCTGGAGATAACGTACTGTCCTAGTGGGTGATTGGAGATTTGTTTCAAGTTTTGATTCCAATATAAGTAAGTTTGGTTGTTGCTTGATNAATAGAATTCTTAAAAAGTCATAATTTTGTCTAACGAGGAAAGAATAATTAAATATCTTTCTTATCAAATAAAAGACAAAGATAATTAAATAACTCTAATAACAAATCTAAGACTAAAATACTAACAATAAATAAAAAAATAAATAATTAAGTTAAAAATCTCAAATATCATGTTTGTGTTGATGACCGACTTGATTCTCCAAGGCTAATTAAAGGATCGATTATATTATCTTTATAATGATCCTTTAAACTTATTTCTAAGCGACAAACTTAGTTCAACTTGGCACAAATAAACGACATCCGACTTTGGACAAGTGAAACAATGACCGACTTATCACCAAATTCCAAGACCGACTTCACATTTAAGACAAAGAAGCCGACTTCACAAATATTCCTATTGAAGATTATCCATTCAAACCGAGATCCGAGGTGATTGAATTCCAAAGCAGGTGACGTTGTACGCTTTCAATTGGACCATCAAGTCAAAGAATAATCATTGATGTTCCCTCACAGCATTACATGCCGCTTTATTGAATCTGCTCAACATATTATAAATAGCATTAAATGCAATATGATCTACCTCGGACAAAAAGACAAAATCACCGTATTATAAATAGCGTAATTTATGACTGTATGGGGATCTTTTTCCGAACATTGTACACGGACTATAAAAACATCTCGGTTACTTACAAAAACCAACTTCATGTACTCTTGTGAAACAATCAATAATCCAAAAAATTTACGTTAATTTTCCTTTAAATACACCTTACTTTTATTTATTTGAGTTATTAAATTTCATACAACTGTTTGTCCTCATTTTCATCATATCTTTTACTAGACAAGATTGTGGCCTTTTAGGATATTTATAAGAGATTCTATTTAAATACTCATATTCTTTTGCGTTTCAATCAGTTTATTTAATTAATAAAGATATTAGAAAGTCTTTCTCTTGTTTTATCCATTTTCATTTTGTTACGCTTTTGCTACGTCTCAAATGAAATTAGGACCTTCGAACTTATACTTAAAACATGGCTTCTTGATTACACTCATTACTTTACACATGGAAGAATGCTGTCCTTTCTACATCATTTTTATAATCCCAACATTTCATATGCTTATACATAATAGTCAAACCAATATTTTTAATTTATACAACAAAAACCTATAGAATAGTAAGAATTAAAAGGGAGCTATCCTGTTGCGAGCTGATAGGCTAAAGTGGAAATGTGACATTATGAAATTATGAAAGGGAAAGGAAAAAAATCTATCATCTATCGTTATATAAAAAGAATAACTTTTTTACAATTTTAAAAATATTTTTTCGCCAAATACATTAAATGTATCCTATATATAGTAATTGTTGACAAAACAAAATCGGATTTTGTTATGATATGGGTAACTTTTATTTTATCAAGTCTGTTAGCATATTTTGTTTTGCATTTTGAAATAAAAATCAGTTTTTATTTTTGGTTTTGATTTTGGAGAAATTCTGACACACGATGCATTTGTAAGGTTTTCGATATTTTTTCGGTAAAGATTTAATTTACGCAGTTTGCTTAAAAATCTTCAGTTAATATTCAATTTTTATTTTTACTTTTTCTTTTGGATAAATTCTGATACACGATTTCTTTTTAATGTCATCTCTCTCTCTTTTTTTTTTTGGTAAAGATCTGATTTACAGAGTTTGTTTAAAAATCTCAATTTAATATCTTTTCTTTATACTGATAAACACAATATTTTATCACGTCAATACAAATATATCACATTAACTACAAATTATACAAACTAGATCTCTTATGGAACGTACAAAATAAATTAAAAGATTACACTTTCATTCAATGTATAAAATTACAATGATATGAATCACCAAAAAAATATTAAAATAAATAGATAATAACAAATCGTAAAATAAATAGATAATCACAAATTCAATATTAACGTAACAATTTTATAATCTTGATTTAATATTTTCATTTCAGTTGATAAACATAATAATTTATCACGTCATTATAAAATGACTGATATAATAAACAAGATAATCACAAAATCCACATGGTAACTGTTTTCTAAAATTGCCATAAAACTAGCATTTTCACGAGATAAACAGTCTTTGATATCTATCACATCAATTTATAATATCCAAAATATTTTATTTCATATTTCTTGATGTTAAAAGATATTTGTTGCTCTTAAAAACGAGTGTGGGGATAATAAATATCCTATCACAGTCCTACAAAAAAGCACCTAAAACGAACATAAAAAAAAATACATTTCATGACTAAAATTTAAATTGTTTATTATTTTTTGATTCATCTCATTCGATTTATAATATTTCACAAAATAATTACAATCCATGCATCGCACGGAATACACGTACTAGTAAAGAAAGAACGTGGGACTATAATTAAATCAATGTACTTATTATGTTACCACAAAGTTCACCATTTCTGCTCTTTTTGACCTTTTCCTTAATTGATGGTGCCGGGCATTGATGGAACTCAGGATTGAAATTTGGAACCGTTGAAGCCTAGCAACAGCGGTCACTTTGGTATCTATATATATAATTTGAATCAGAGTTTTTAACGCAATTCATTTATTTTTCCTCCATATTCAGTTACAAAATCACACTTAATATCAATTATTAAAATTAATAATTATATTTCACACTAAATGATGTATGAAAAATGCATAAACATAAAAAATTATATTGTAAAATTTTTTTTTCAAGTTATTTATTCTAAAATTAATATTATATTTTTTATTACTTTTTTAAGTAAATTAATTTATTTTAATGTTATAGTAAAATTCCTTAAAATCGCATAAGCAATTGTCACAATAAATATAATATTTTCAGCTAATTAATCGGTCATAATCCCTCAAAATTATAAAAATTATGTTATTTATTACATTTTATGCAATCAGTATAGTGATTCATATGCAATCAAATAGTTGTGTACTATTTATTTTAACCAGTGATCAAATTTTAGACATAATAACATTATATAACTTATAAAGATAACTTATAATACCTTATGCTTAAAATATTATAAAATCATCTAACTATTAATTTTAATTATATTTTTAATATTATATGTATACAAATAACTCATAATACATTATTTACATTTGTGCAAATGCACAGGGTCGAATGCTAGTAAGGTATAAATAGGGTTAGGCTCTAACTTTATTATTATTATTATTACAACACAAATTCCACTAATAGCTAGACGAGTGGACCAATCATAATATTTGAACAAAATACATATTTATATTTTCAAATGTCATTCTTGTATATGAGGCGAACAAAAATTTGACTTTTCCCATACCGAACTAGACTGAAGTAGACTCGTTTTGAAAAATAATGATATTGTTTCCAGTACCGAACTGTTTTAAACAATGGCAGTATAGCTTTCGAATATTTTTATCATGAAACATTTCGTTTGTCCCGTTTAATTACTTTGGTATATATATATATATATATATATATATATATATACACACATTAATTGGTATTGTTTTTTAAATTGGTATTATAATAATCCATTATTATTCCATTCTAAAATAAAAAGGCCAATGTACTAAATTGATCCAAAACAAATACACCAACAGGTCCAACCCAATGTACATAGTAAATACCAAATTGAATTCTTGATTGGTGTATAATATGAATTGTAAATTGTAAAAGTCACTAAATGTCTAAGTTAAAATAGATGTTTTTGTTGGTGATTTGTTGAATCGGCATAAAACAAACATTGCTCCGCTTTAGGTGAATTGACATAAAAGTAGTTTAATATTGATAAATATTTGATGATCTTATTTTAGTCTCTTTACTCGAAAACTAACATTGTTTGTTATTATTATTTTTATTTTTAGTATGTAATCCGCATGGTACTAAATTGTTTTATTCTGATCCCGAATGAATATTGATCTATTTGGGACATTGTCGCGCTCCAGATCCTTCTGGAACCGATTCATAAAAGCGAAAAGTACAAAGACAAAGCTAAATTTCGGATCGTCTTGGCTTTACCCACCACTACTTCTATTTATCTTGTTTATCAAAGTATGACATTTTTTAAATAATATATGTGATATGAGATATCATATCGGGTCAGCTCGACCCGATAAGTGGTCTAACCAAACTAGGTGAACCGTTCGATTGATCGAAGATCGAAGGTACAGAGGTCGAAGAGGCATCAAGACGAGTGTAACAATATAGATAGATGGGTTCATCGACAGGCCGAGCTATAGGGCCCTTGGATGGCCTGGTAGAATCTCGACCTGAAGGTACGAAGGTCGACATATCGACCTAAAAGAAAATACGCACGAGCTCAGTGAGAAGGCAATCTAGGTCAAAGGATAAAGAGGAAATCTGGTCGTATGATTAGGCCGTCTAATAGGACGGACTAATGGATAAGAAGGAATATAAATAGGATACGAATCACATGTGGACTGGACCACGTGGCCTAACAGAATTGGGCAGTTCGGGTAGCCCATTCAGGCAGTCTTGGGCAACAAGGTAACACTCCTATATATTGGAATGATTTATGTTCATTTACACTTTACACACTCTAATATACTTACAAGCTTATATATCTATTGTCATCGTCTTTATTCGGATACTGACTTAATCGTCGGAGTGCTAATAGTGGGAACACCTCTTGACCCATTTTGCAGCTCTTTGAACTAGACGTGAGCGGATCCAGGGTCGTTTGCACACCAATAAATGCACATTTTTTAACAGATATGTCGCTTAACACAAGACCAAGGGTTATCACAAATGTTTGTGTTAATTGTCTAATCTTTTTTTTTTTTTTGGTGCAAGCAAGGAGGCTGCGCAAGCCTAGATAAGAACCGTCCGAGGATACGACACTCCAATCCTATCATGGTGCAACCAAATACTAACTCCCAGCGGGGGACTCTCCAACCTATGCACACCACCCTGACCTTTAGCCGCCAACGAAGCCAAATAATCCACCACAAAATTCGACTCACGATAACCATGAGCAAACACCACCTCCCATTGCCGACCCAATAGCTCTGTTATACCCCTCAAAATACCACTATGAATTCCGGAGTGGTGACCCTGCTGGACCATCTCAACGATACTCTTATTGTCGACTTCTACCTGCACCTTACGCGCCCCTATATCTTAACCCTTGAAACATACCCCATAGCTCGGGTCCAATAATAGAAAAACCCCTATATTCATCAAAAAGCCATGCACCCAATTCCCGTGGTGATAACGTATAACTCCACCGACGCTCGCCATCCCCGACGACGGGTCAAAACTCCCATCCGTGTTAACCTTCAGCACCTCCTCCGGCGGGCCCGACCACGATATCCACCGTAACTCCCGTGCGCCACACAACCCCAATTTCCGGCCACCCGCCTCCTCGCACCTTACCATGTTCGCGAAGGAAGACACCTCGCGAAGACGTTGGGACAAATTTATATCAACTCCTTGGAAAATCGTAAGGTTTCTCCACCTCTACAAGCGCCACGCCGTCAGCCCGAAGACCGAAACCCAATTATCGGTGGTCCTGCTAGACAATTGTGATTTCTTCTAACTATGAATACTTATATAAATGTTATGCTTTTTATTTATATATATTATATTGTAAGGTATGACATTTGAATATAAAAATTTGTATATTTATAATTGAAAGATTATGATTGTCCAACTGGCATGCAGTCTAAAAGGAAAACAATCTTATTATTGTTGTTGTTGTTGTTGTTGTTGCTGTTGTTGTTGTGACTTTGCAAAATCAAATGATCCATTTTATGTTGCTGCTATTGTTGTTGTGACTTTGCAAAATCAAATGATCCATTTTAATTCATGAAATCATGGAGGGACCATGTAATAATGCAAACCTCATAAAAGTATGCACGTGCAAAATTATTGTCTATGACTTAAATATTGTTCTAACAAATTAAAAGTATACAAATATAGAAAAGTAAAATTAAAGAGATTTTTATTTCAATAGCTTTCTAAATGTACATTTTATTGAGAATAGTTTGGGATAAATGTTTCTCAATAACAATAGGTTTGCCCTTTTTATGATTTAATCATCAACTTTTTGTCACGGTATGTAATATGATACTTTATAATGTATGTATACAATTTTTTGTAATAAAATAAGAACGACTAATGGTAAGACAACCAAACAATAATATTTGTTGTATACGAAAACTTCAATTACAACAACCTGGCCTAAATTGTGGTTCAAATTTTCAGGTTTAATTGGTCAAATAATGCGCCCGTTATAATATTCATTTTCAAATCCCATTGGACATTATCAAGCGGTCCAGAACACACCAAAGACTCATCATGCATCAAATTACATAATTTTAATAGTTCATAACTTCATACAATAAACCAGACATACGTTTTTTTTTTAATAGTAAAAATAATGCATTTATATGCAATTAACCCAATCAATTTTGTTTCGACATAATTTAGAAAATAATCAAATATGATGAGTCAAAACNAACAAACAGAGAGAGAGAGAGAAAAAACAATAGAGTTTGAAGATTCCTTTGCAGTTTGCCCCACTTCCATTCTTGTGTTGACAGCTAAAACCCCATTTTTGCTAACCCCACACTTTACAATGACCTTTCGGTCAATATAAATTTTCCACCCATATTTTTCCGCATGTCAAAAAAATAGAATATTTGCATCGACTCTTTCATAGACACCATCAAATTCACAAATTTGGCCCAAACAAGCAAGAAATTCTTCCATTTTCATCAACCATAAACCAATGTTTATTTAATTAGTTCAAATTAGACTAACTATACAAAATGTCACTAAAATCATAACAACAAAGCACAAAATAGAATAATATCGACTCTTTTGTTGACACCCTCAAATTCATATATTTGGCCCAAAGAAGCAAGAAATTCAACAATTGTAATATATGATATTTTAATATAAAGAACATAAATATATCTACTTGAAAAAAAATTAACAATAATTCAGTCTAATGTCTAAATTATCGAAACATAATTAATTCAACACAGGTAACCGAATTTTGCAATTACCACCAAGATAAACAAAGAAAATGAAACTAACAAAAAATCATCAACACAACAAACTTGAAGAAAGATTGTCTCACTCATACACCACATCTTCTTTCACATTTTTTTTTTCCAAATTACAAAAATCATTTATGATATTACTACCG